ATCATGGGACTTAGTAAGTAAAGGTTATAAGTACCCTAATTGGTGTTATAATTAGAGTTACCGTATTTATAACCCTAGTTACTAAGTCCCATGATCCTCCAAGGAGGGTTCCGTTCAGGATGTTGGTGTGGAAGTTGGTTTTGTTGCTTTTGGGGCCGGTGCGTTTCTAGAAGGGTTGAGGGTTTAGGGGTTTAGGGTTTAGGAAGGTTCCTTCATGGTGGCGTCTGGGTTTCTTTGGAGAACTGCTGTTGGGGGTTTTAGCTTTTCAGTTTCGGATCATGAGGTTACGGAAGGTCGATTTAGGAACTCGGCTTTGGGCCCTAGACCCTAAGTTCCTCCAAACCCTAAACCCTCAACCCTAAACCCAAAGTCTCTCTAAACCCGAAGCCCCCAACCCCTAAGTTTTGGGGGCTTCGTGGTTTCGGGTACGTAGAGCTTCGAGTTTGAGCGCTTCGGGTTTTGGACTTGGGGCTTCGGGAGTTTAGGGTTCAGGGGGCTACGTCGCCTTCGGCTTGGTAGTCACGGGCTTCAGCCCATATGGGCCGTTTTCTAAGTTAGGGTCCGTTTTGTGGTCCCCAATATAGTACGGCACCCTTATAAAAAGGACCCCAACCGGGACCCTAATTGAGAAAACTACCCATATGGCTAAACCCTGAACCCTAAACCCAAAAACAGGGTTTTGCGGGTTTAGGGTTCACGGTGTGGAGTTTGCGCTTCAGCCTAGATGGATGAGGGTTCCGGTCTGCTGTTGAGGATTTGGCGTTCTGCGCTCGACGCAAAGGCAAAGCTTGAGGTGCCTATGTTTGAGGCTGTGGACCACTGGTTGCAGGGCTTGGGTTTTGGATTTAAGGACTGGGATTTTGGGCATTGCAGGATTGGGGGCGCAGTAGGAAGACTTACTCTCGCACGCCACCTCACAGCCGTCAGTACAGTCAGTGTCCGCCAATTGTGGTCAAGGCGCGGACAAGGAACGTGAGCGCACGCAGATTATATGTACGTTGGCAGGAGCCTGCGCTTCGTAGACCTGGAAAACCTGCAGCTGATTTGCTTTATGTCAGGAAAAGAACCGGCCCCACCATTGTGAAATTCTTCTATGCTCCAGGGAGGAGTGTGCCTTCTCCAGATCCGCCAGTTTATTGTTGTTCGCAGTACCAAGCCTTTTTCCAGCCGCCATCCCATAGTCCTCAATCTCCAAAGCCCTAAAGCTCTGGAAAGTTGAACCCTAAAAGGCTTCGAAAACGTGAAATTCCTGAGACCCTAAACCCTGAAACCCTAGGTCGTAACATCGTAGAACACTCCACCCTTAGACCCTGCAATCCCAAAACACAGAAAAGTAACCCATATAGGCGCCTTTATCTGAACCTTAATCGTATATAGTAACCCTTATCATAACACTTGTGGAGACCCTAAACCCTAAACCCTAGAACCTAAACCCTAAAACCCTAAACCCTACAACCTAAACCCCTAAACCCTAAACCCTAGAACCTAAACCCCTAAACCCTAAACCAATTAGATGTGGCTTTCCAGGCCTATGAAACCTTTTCACCAATCA